CTGGGGTCCCTTTCTATGTCGGCCCACGCGCCTGCTGAAAGTCTTCGTCATGCTGGCGCCGGTTTTTCGGCGCAGGTGGTGCAAACAACAAACTGTGTTACGCTGTGCTTGCGGCCGCACTTGCGACCCCAGCGATTTTTGGGTGAGGGGGGTGGTTTTCTTGCTGCCCGACGGCAAGCGCGACCCCACAAATTTTGGGGTTGGAGGGGAGTGGCGCGTCAGTACGAGACAGTGGATGGAAGGATTAAGCAAGAGATGGAATGGGGGATATTCATCCAAGCAGCTACAGCAAGCGCAAAAATCACAACCAGCGGTGGCGCTGAAAGCCACAAAGCATGACCCGCTTCCTCAAGCGATGATCAGCAACCCAACTGCGCAACGGGATAACCAGCCAATCGACATCCTCGCGAGATTTGCTCTTCTGAACTGTCGTGCGCAAGACTACTCCAATTGCGATATCAACTTCGCCGCCTACAAGAGTATCTTTTCTGAAGTGAGTGAGTCGATAGTTTCACTAGGAGACATCAGTCCCTGTTTTTCAAGCCACTGCATCTTCACAATTCATGAGATGCAAAGCCATTTGGGCACGATTAGGTGTCGGCTTTTGCTGCCGTTTCCGTGTGCGAACTAGAATGCAGTTGCGCTCAGTTTGCACAAACTATGTAGATGCAAGACGAAACAAACATGTCCGAGTCGCAAAAGAAAGTGACTAGAGTGACTGACTATTTTTGTGTGTCCGGAATCGATCTACATCGTTTTCTGCAGTACAGAGCCTTGCAATCATAATTTAATTCCAAATCACCTTCTGGCAGTCGCTTGTCACACATGTGCCATTGTGGCCCAAGGCCCTTCTTTTTTGGTAATATGGCGCCATAGAGATTGATACAGTGCCTGGGTATCGGGCGGGTTCTTGATATAAATATTTTTATTTACACGTATCATCGAGACCCAACCACCTAGTAACACGGCCAATGGAGTGGGTTTGGAGTGGTTGCCAGGTGAGTTGGGTGCGGAGTCTGGATCCTGGGGGCATAAGAAGGGTCGTGGCCGCATGTTTTTCCAGCCTGGGTCCTCCGTCTCTGGCTTATTTCTTTGCTTTTTCAGCCGGGAAATCTCCAGCAGACCCTCTGAGCCTCCAGGGGCGAGGTCCAAAACTAGGAGTGGTTCTTGGGGCGAACAAGAGGAAAGATGTCGCTTTTTCGTTGTTGGGACGCAATTACGCTGTGGGCTCTCCCATCAATTATGGCACCTCTGTGCGCCCCGGTTTCTTGCGTTGCTGTTTTTGGCGCTGCTTTTTAGGTGTGGTGTTTTCCTGTTTTCCATTCTGAGTACTTCCGAAATTCGAAAATATTGAGTTCTGCAAAATTGATTCAGATTTTCATGTGAACGATTCTGATTCTCAATATTCCTGAGTTGGAAGGCTCCTTCCGTCAAGTACTGAAGAATCGCGATTTGTAGGTTTTTCAGGTCTTTGTGCTTTTCAATTCTAGGAGTCTACATCAAAATCTAGGAGTTTGAAAACTCTGTGTCTTTTCATTGCGACCCTGAAAAAGTGGTAGTCTCCGGACGTTTTGCTAAATTGCTATGTTTTGGAAGATTCAGGAGTAAAACTAGGACTGCGAGCCGGAACCTGGAGCTGGTTGTGCGCTGGAACCTGGGTTGCAAGCTGGAACTTGGGTTGCAAGCTGGAATCCGGGTTGTTGCAAAGGCCTCTTTGATTGCAGCGAAGCAATCTAGGCCGCCGGAAAATCAGCGTTTT